AATATTTATTATTATTAATATAGAATTAACATTTATACATTTTAATATAGATCAGTGTTAGAATTTTACCGTTATTATTTAAATTGTAATGTTATTCTACTAACAATAAAAAAAGAAAGAAATATTAAGAACAAATAACTCGAATGCCTTCTTCTTCCTGATCATTAGCACATAGCCACCGTGGACTTTCGGGCATGAACAAAAAGACGATAAATTGAATTAAAGATGGAAAGGCTGTGAAACTAAGCATTAAGCGCCATCCAGCATAAATAGGCTGCACATAAGATAATATACCTGTATTTTTTGATAAAAACTGAAATCGAGCAACAAATGGCTAACAAAACGGACTAATTAGCTAAAATCTTTCTTAGAATGAATTTATAAATGAATGAAAATAATGAAACGTTTTTTATTTGTTTGACATTGAAGAAATGGAAAAATTTCTTCTCTGAAAAATTTGTAATTGCTGAATTTCGATCATTAATCGATTTTTTCTTACTTTTACGTCGTATTTTTTTAATTAAAAAATTTCAATTACCCATCCTCTGCTTCGGGATTTATTGCATATCAAAATTGTAAAATTAGTTGCTTTCAAAAGCACATGGAAATTTAAGCCTTCCGAAATCTTTCATGAATGAATCCCAGTTGAAATAGACGGGAAAATTCATAGGTTCTTACAAATTTGGAAAATCAATTCCTCTCTTCCAAATTAAATTGCAAAATAAAATTTACTTCAATAATATAAAATTTATAAAGCTGCTGGAAACCTCTTGTTAACTTTTTTCTTTTTTTTTGTTTTACCTGCATTACCTGCAACGATATTTGCTGATGCTAATCCAAATGTAATAAACATTTGAAACGATGTAAGAAGATAACCTCGACAATTAGGTGGTGATATTTCACTGATATATACCGGTACAACGGTTGATCCAAAACCTTCAGTTTTATGTTTTTATATATCACTGATACCGACATTATCGATGAAATGGAAGAGGAAATTTTAGCTAATTTCTAGCCAAGTATATACTTTTATTCTTTTTGTTCTTAAATTCTAAAAATAAATTCAGAAAAAAAGAATTTTTCCCTCTGTAGATAAGCAATAACAACGATGTTGACGGCATATTGTGTCATGAAAAAAAAATTTAAATAAAAATTGGCAATGAATTTAATGCACAACACAATTTCTGTTGTATGAAACTATTTTCAGCTATAAACTTTGACAAATTTTAAAAAATAAAAACATTTTTTTTTGAAAATGCCCAAATGACACGTTAACTTTAGGAATAAAAACAAATAAAGAGAAAAATTTATTCGAAAAATATGTTTACCTAATGCAAAACCAATCATAACTCGGCCAATAATAAGCATTTCTTTACTTATCGACAAGGAACACAGCAATGCGCCAATTGTATCACATACAACTGCGCTCAGGATAGGCTTTTTGCGGCCGAAATGATCGCTTATTGGTGCAGCTAATAAGGAGGCTATTGCTGCTGCTCCTAATTTAAACTTCATGAAATCTCTTTGTGCTTCAGTATACTTTAATAAAAGTTGAAATATTTGAAAGTTATTAATAATAATGATAATATTAATAATACGAGTGACAAATAATAATAATAATAATAATAATAATAATAATAATAATAATAAT